TTGAGATTGACTCTGTCTCAGAAAACAAACATATATGTACATTCTTCACAGCCCCTTAAGATGTTTTCCCCTTCTTACCTAATTTGGTCTTTTTACTCCTCAGAGCAACTTAACTATGTACAATCGCAGGATGTAACAGCAAGGTTTCTCAGATGGTACAAAACAATAGAGCTTTACCATTTTTTTGCTTATATTCTTTTTTTTTTTTTGGTCTTTTTGAGACAGGGTCCCACTGTAGCCCCAGCGCCCCTGGACCTCACTGTTTAGACCAGGCGGGCCTTGACCTCACAGAGATCCGCCTGCCTCTCGAGAGCTGGGATTAAAGGCGTGTGCCACCACACCCGGCCTTCTTTTTTTTTTTAATATTTATTTTTTTATTTTTTTAGAAGAAGCATTTCATTACAGCTTTAACATACTCAATAAGTTTCCAGAGCAAAGATACATCTCTTTCAAAAGTGGCTATAAAATTTTTAGGTTCGCTGTTGAATTAATACAGTTATACAATTGTAGGAACTCCTGAATACAGAAGCAATCTGGCCGCTCCAATATAAAACCCTTTTTTTTTCTTTAAATCTTAAGAATTGGCTTGGAGAGGTGGTTCAGTGGTTGTGCTGGATAGCTTTAGTGTCAATTTGACACACCTGGGTTGAGAGACTCACTTGGGGAACTGTCTCCATACTACTGGCCTATGGCCATGTCTGTGGAGCATCTCCATTGTTGAGTGATGTGGAAGGGCCCAGCCCATGGTGGGTGGTGCCCTGGGCTGGTAGGCCTGTGTTGCATAAGAAAGCAGGCTGAGGAGGGGCCAGGGAACAAGCCAGTAAGCTGTGTTTCTCCATGGCCTGTGCTCCAGCTCCTGCCTCCAGGTTCCTGCCCTGAGTTCCTACCTTGGGCTCCCTGATGAACTATGACCCTGGAGATGTAAGATAAAATAAACCCTTTCCTCCCCAAGTTGGTATTTGTCAGAGTGTTTTGTCACAGCAATGAAGGAACAAACTAGGACAGTGGTTAAGAGCACAGGCTGCTCTTGCAGTAGACAGGGGTTTGAATCCCAGCACCCATGTGGCAGCCAGTAGCTATCCATAACCCCAGTTCCAGGGATCTGATGCCCTCTTCTGACCTCCACAGGCATTTCACACCATGGGTGCCCTTACATACATGCAGGCAATACGTTCTTGCACATAAAAATTTTTAAATTTTTTTTAAAAAACTGCAGAAGCCCAACAAGGTGGCTCACACGTACAGTTCTAGCACTCAAGAGGCTGAGGCAAAAAGATTGCTATGAGTTTGAGGCCAGACTGGGCTGCAGATTAAGACAAAATTAAGTCCAAAAATCAATGCATCTTCTGTTTTCATTTTCTTTCCTACTTTTTTTTTTTTTTTTTTTTTTTTTTGAAACGGGGGCCGAATTGGGTGCAAATTAAAAAAAAAATAAATCCAAAAAACAAAGCATCTTTTGTTTTTATTTTTTTTTCTCTTTTTTTTTTTTTTTTTTTTTTTGAGACAGTCTCCTTGTAGACCCAGCTGGCCTGGAACTCACTATATAGAGGAGGCTGGACTTGAACGTGCAGAGATCTGCTTGCCTCTGCCTCTGAAGTGCTGGGATTAAAGGCATGTGCCACCAAGCCTGGCCTTTCTTTTTTTACTGTTACTAGAGATTTAAGTATGAGCAGAAGAGCCTGGTCTGTACCATTGAACTATACTACCAGCCAAATACAGGTTTTGTTGCTGTTGTTGAGTGGGAAGCTTTTTGTTTCTTGGAGTGCTGGGAATCAGACCCAGGGCTTGTATGCATGTTAGACCAGGGCTCTACCACTGGGGTGAACTCCCAGGCCTCCAGCTCCAGATCTCTTAACTGTCATAGTGCACACAAACTTAGGAGTTTTTGATCTCTTTTGCTTAATACTTAACTAATACTTTAAACTTTGAGGTTTAGTATCTCTTTGAAATGTGCTACATTAATGAATTTATTAGTCCTAGTAATAAACATCAACCACCTTTTTTTAAAGCTGGGAAACCAGTTGTAAAATGAACTTTTTATGGAATGTTTCTGCTAATAGCATTTCAAAATTTATAATTACATCACATTCCTTTTCGTTCTGGCAAGAAGATGCATTTTATTTCTAGATTTGGACCTCAATTTAATTGGCCATATGTTGTTTATAACAATGCTTATGCTCAGAATGATGAATTTGAGGATTTACATACTTCACTACAGTATTCCATTTATTTAGTCTTGGTGCATGAGACTTTTAATGTTGGTAATGAATAACTGCTGATGTCATCTCCCCAGGTTACCCAGGTTTCTGTTGGCTTTGCTGAGTTAGTGTTGTGTCACACCATAGCTTTTCTTTTCCTTTTTTTTCTAAAGAAACTTTATCGAAACTTTCATACATGCATATAAGGTATTTTGATCAAATTCATGCCCACTCTCTTCCCCTCCCAACACCTCTCATATTTCCCCATCACTTTTTTCTGACAACTTTGTGTTCTCTTTCTTTCTTTCTTTTCTTTTCTTTTTCTTTTTTAAATGGGGCTTTTTTGCTACTCTAACATTACCCCTCTGAAGAGGTAACCCTAAAATCTTTCAGGGGTTGGATAAGAGCTCCCAAATACTTTTGTCATTTTTGGCCTTTGGAACAGAGTATGTTCCTAAGAGGCCCAAGGACATTTTGAATTTTAGCCCAGAAACTGGCTATTTTTCTTTGGGGTCTTTCTTACCCTAACTGCCTACCCAATTCCTACCTATTCTTCTCACACCATCCTCTGAAGAGGTTACCCAAATTACTGATAGGGAATCAGGACACAGACTGCTCTGGCTTCTTACATGCTGAACAGGGATGCAGGGTGAGGCAATTGGGGTACCCCTTCAGTGGGTCTATTTAAAAGACTCCCAAATTGCATAACTTATCTGTAGGGATAAAAGAAAGCCCTTGACTGGTGAATAGGAGATGTGAGGGAGAAGTAAAGGCAAGAGTAGTTAGCATTATAAATTCTAGACAGAGAACCAGAAAAGAGTCAGAACAGGGCAAATTTCAAATGGTCATATCAGAGTCCATTGGGATTTCTTGACAAGAGCTTCCAAAAGCATCCCTCTACTGGGGTCCTCCTCATTTTTCTTTTGTCTGCCAAGGTTGGACTCGAGAGTGATGGATTCAGGATTTGTTTTCAGGTACTTTGATAGCTGTTGGACTGTCTGGAATCAGTATC